GGGTTATAGAGGAAGGAATTAGGTGGGGGAGAGTTGAGAGAAAAGGAAGAAGAAGAACTTTGGTGGAGTGTTGGGAGTGACGGCAGTAAATGAGGGGGTGTTGGAATTGGGTGGCTTGGGAGCACCAACACATAATAGGATGGGAATTAAGGAGCACCATTAAAAAAATATAAATTAATGAAAAAATTTAATGAGGAATTGTCTATTTCTCTTTAAAATATTAAATTAGTGAGAGATGTTAATTTTATAACTTGACTTAAAATTAACGAGAAAAATAATGAGAAACTATAAATCCCTCTCTAAAATAATAGAATTAGCGAGGAAAATAGTAATAAACTATCAATTCCTCTTTAAAATGAGACAATTAGCGAGAAAAATAGTGAGTAACTACTAATTTCTCTTTAAAATAGGACAATTAGCGAAAAAATAGCGATAAACTGTCAATCTCTCTTTAAAATAAGATAATTAGTGAGGGATTCCATCCTTAGTTAATTATTAAAAAAAGTTAACTTTTGATAATAACTTTTAATAATACATTTAATTATTTTTATTTAAAAATAAAAATTAAGTTTAAAAATTAACTAAAATATTCATAATAAATTATTTAATATTTAATATTTTTTATTTTAAGTTGATTTTCATTAATAAAATAATATTTTGTTAAAAATATAATATAAAGAATAATTTAAATAAAATATAAATATTTTTAACATGTTAATAATTGAAAATAAAATTTAATATGTATATATGTGTATTTTTATAATATATTATTTGATATATTTATATAGTTAAATAATATATATTTAATTTTTTATATAATGACTGCACGTGCCTCATAGTTCAACTAGCAAACAAGAAGAATGTAAGACTTAAAAGATATGAAGTCGAGGATTCAAATCTTAATTTTGACATACACATAATGAATATATGGCATAATAAGGAGCATGTGATATAACATAAGGTAAATAATAACATGTTATGAGTCTTCTCACACGTGTCAGGTGATAAAGCATAAGATGGTAGGTGACATGACGATTGATAAGGTACGAGATTATTGGTGATGTGTCACAAATTGACGCATACATAATGATTTAATGTGACATCATTATTTTTAAATATAAATATATTTAATGAGGGATTAGTGAGGCATTAATTTCTTACTAAATTATCAAATTTTAAATAGTATTAATAAGGAATTCAATTCCTTACTAATTTTAACAAGTTTTTTTTAGTTATGAATTTAACAAGTGATTATCTTTTTTTAACCATGAATTTAACAAGAAATGTTGTCCCTTATGAAAACAGAATTTAACTAAAAAAAATAGTATTTAGTGATTTTATTTTTCTACTGGTGGAGGACTGCAAGTGTACGTACGCCGTAGCGTGGCTGTGGTTATCCTCTCCTCGTTTGTTGCTTTCAGTGTCGTTTACTATTTCACGTGCTCTTCCCCGCTTTCTTTTTTTTATATGATCACACGCAAGCCACGTCAACTTCTCTTCGCATTATCATGCCTCGTGTCAACCCCTTTTCGCATGCTCATTTAATTTTTTTTGTCAATCATTTTTGTTATCCTTATCAATATCGCAATATATATATATATATATATTTTAAATACACTTTTATATAATAAATTTAAAAAATAATATCATATTATTTTTTATGAAGGATAATTTTAAAAATACATTTAAAATATTATTTAAAAAATTATGCTGTAACTTATAAATAAAATTAAATAAATATTTTAAAATATGTCTTATAAATAAATTGGGAGGGAGGAGCATACCGTTACACTATTATGGCCTTTTCTTTTCTCTATGGACTATCGAGTATCTACAATGGAGGGATGGTGTCGCGAAACAAGATACGATGGAACGTATGCGAATATGGCAACGTGCCATTCTGATTATTGCTTGACTGGGCACTTTTCTCCACATGTAAAAAAACATTATGCCAATACAGTATTAGATTAAAATTCCTTTTGACTGGAATTGTGCCTATCTCCCTGAAATTAAAATATATGAACAAGTTTGAAAAAAATATAGAAAAGGAAGGTGCGACTGGCAGACTAAATAATTTTGTAAATTAAGTTATATTATTTATAACTCATCAGCGTTATCTATCTCATAAATCTTTTATCATATATTGATTGATGATTCTTCCCAGCCGCTTCTTATTGCGCTTGCACTTTAATTATGGAAGCCTGCGATTCAACAAGTTTAATGATACAAAACGAATAAATTTATTTAGAAAGGGAAACACAGACATTTTATGGTTGTTTTAGGCTTAATTAAGCATGCTTTAGGGCCATTAGTTTAGCAGCCAGTTGAAAGGGTTTAGGTGTGAAACGCACCCCCTTTGGGGTTGGATGTTCCATACGACAAAATGGGTGTTGTGTTTGGCTGGTGGTGTCATTCCTTAAGGCATCATTTGGTTTATTACTTTTTTATTTTTGTTGTGGAAGATTGTTTGGAATCATTTTATTAGAGTCCTTTCAAAAAAAACTTCTTAATTGGTTCAAATGTGAAAAATTGAAAGCTGAATTTTGTAGCTTTTGAAAAGTGATTTTAAAAAATAAATATTATTTAATCATACTATCTCAAGTTTAATCTTTTATTTTTATTTAAAAATAATTAATTTATTAAAAATATAATTATCATTTCAATAATAATAATTAAGTATTAAGTTTTTAACATTATAAATTAAATAATTAATCATGTTAATTTTTAACATTAATATATAATAAAAATTATAAGTTTTTATCACATTTTTTAAAATTACAAATTAAAAAGTACAAAAAATTAGAGATTTAATTTTTAGCACTGTAGATTAAATTTTATGTTATTTAAAATATTTATCACATTTTTTAAATGTTTCAAACACATTACATTTATATAATAAAAATTACAAACCATTATAAATCAACGTCCTTTTCTATAATTATACATTCAAAAATATATTTTATTATCATAATCTAAACAACTTTAATATATTAATTAATTTTTAAAAAATATATTCAAGTATAAATTTCATCAAATAATTAATCTTTATCAAATAGATTTTTTTTAAATAAAATTTTGATAAATTAAAAACTAAACACACCAAGTCTCATCCTCCTCAGCTTGACGTGGCCACGTCCATAAATAATTGGAACGGGAGGCTCGTGACCCGGGATCTGGAGGAGTAGTAAAGTCAGTCAATTTTTATCAATTCCGTTGAATTCTGCAGCAACAGGGTTTGCTGCCTCAAAGCTGTGGCTCCAAAGGGATCACTTTTTCTGTGGCAAAGCCTTCTGTCATCCTTCCTCTGGTCAAATGTTTCTTTGTATTTCTTAATGGTGTTCTGGGGATTTTCAAACAAGGATTTTTGAACGGTTAAAATTTTACTTTCGGTTTTGGTGTATTCCAGCCTCTTTAATTAATTAAAATGCATTTCTCCTTAAATAAAACAAGTTTATAACTTAGGGTGTTACAATACTCTGAGCCTTATGTTTTGTGGGTGCCAATAATTGGAAACACCTCGCCCGAAATGATGACCCCGGTGTATAATTTGATCAACGTATTTGCTCTCTTTTTTAAAACACATGGTTAAAAGCGAGAGACAAATCGTGCAATAAATATTTTATGCTATTCGGTGAAGCAAAATATAAGTAATCAGCGAAATTCAGATCTGGTTTAAGTGTGGATTCATATGCTCATGTAATTTTTTTTTTTTCATTTTACTAGTCTCATACATAATAACTTAACTCATATTATCTAACACAGTGATAGAGGCAAAAATAAAAAATAGTTCTTAAAATTTTAAAAATAACGAATAGAAAATATCTCACATCAGGAATAATTATATAGCAAATGTTGGTGAATCTCTCTCCTCAGTTGCATAGAACAAGACGAGTATCTTATATGATATGGCATGATATGGTGATACAGCAAATTTTTAAAATTTTATGATAAGGTACAGAAATATTTATAATATATTTTCAACATCTTAAAATCACATGTATTTTAATTTTTAAATTAAAATTTTTTAAGTAATATAAATATTTATAATAATCAATTAAAATATTAAGTATTTTTAAGTTATATAATAAAAAAATTATATTATAAATGTTAAAATATGAGATACGTGTATAAAAATATTTTATAAATATTATATTAAATGCAAATACGTTTTTTTTTTTTTTTTGAAGCAACGGTGTTCATAGTCTCTCACCCTTTTTGTCTGTGGGTAAATCCGTCGCTTTGATTACAGATAGGCCACGCCAGTGACCACCAGGAGGTCAGCGGAGGGCACGCTTTGTTATTAGTGGGATTTGGCTTATGCGGGCTTATAACTGAGAAAACGGATCTTTGCCCAAAGATTCCACAAAATTTGCCTTCTCTTTAATCTTTCACTTTTGCTTTTCCCTTCATTTTATGATAATAGTGTGGTGACACATGACTGACTCAACCTCTCTCGCCTCTTCCGACCAAAAAAATCGTGGGCCCTCACTTCTCCTTCCTTCACTCCCACTGCCTCTGACGGCGCGTGCATTTACACAACCACTTCTCAATCCTGATTCCTGAGTCCTGAATAAGCTCGCCAGGTGAGAGAAAGTAAAGTAAAATCAAGCTCCCATTTTCTCCCCCATACTTATTATCTTGGTCCCATGGTTAGGTCCATTTTATGCTCCTGTACGTGATTTTACAATGAATTATTATGTTCACTCATTACATGACATGTATATTATTTTCTTATTTTATAATTTCCTAACCAACGCCAGTTGATTTCTCACCTTTGCTGGCTGGGACAGAGCTTTCATGTTCCCAGCTTAAAATATACCATGACAAAATGTTTTATTACTATCTTTGTCACGAGCCACAAAATTATATTCCCCCATTTAATCTAGTTAAGTGATACATAATTAATTCCGCGGTAAACAGTTTATTACTGTTTTCTTCAGTTCCGGCGAGTGTGTTATTGCGTGTGTGTTTCCGGGGGGGGGGGGGGATGCTCTTTTTGAGATCTGAAAGAGAACAAAATATAAAGAAGGAACAAAACAAAACCAAGCCAGAAAGGCGAGGTCTTTTTATGTGACGATGGAGCTTGCTACCTCGGGATAGATTGTAGTAGTAGTTGTTGCCGCGAAGAATCATATTACGAGAACTCACAGATTGTGAAAAGCCTTTGTCATCAAACCAGTTATCAGTAGAAGGGAGGGAGACACCTATTCTTCTGACCCTCGTCTCTCGAGTCTGGAGCTGCTGATTAGAGCTCGGTTCTTCAATTCTGCGTCTGTGAACGGGGTTCCTGGGACGAACGTTTCTGAAACAGTGAGGGACGGAATTGGAAGCCTGTAATTACATAGTTCTTCACTTTCCAACAGTGAAGACTAAGATTTGATTGAACAGTGCGAGCAATTACTCGGCCCATTTTCGTCCTCTTCGTTTTGAGAAAGGCAAAACATTTTTTTCCCCTTCTCTCTCCTTGTTTATATTCCCGTTTTAACAATTTCTGCTTCCCCAGACACTGTTTGATTACCACGAAATAGTCTTGTTCGCAAACAATGAAGGAAGAAGCTGAGAAAAGCTTGGATCCACAACTATGGCACGCCTGCGCCGGAGGTATGGTTCAGATGCCATCGCTGAACTCTAAAGTCTTCTACTTTCCTCAAGGACACGCCGAGCACGCTCAGGCCGGCGTCGATTTTGCGGCCTCCTTGAGGATTCCACCGCTCATTCTCTGCCGCGTGGCAGCCGTTAAATTCCTCGCAGACCCAGAAACCGACGAGGTCTTTGCCAAGATCAAGTTGATTCCTTTGAGAAACTCTGAGCTGGACGACGGCGACGGGGACGAAAATACTCACGGTTCTGAAAATTCAGAGAAGCCCGCGTCTTTCGCCAAGACCTTAACCCAGTCCGATGCTAACAATGGTGGAGGCTTCTCTGTTCCGAGATACTGCGCAGAGACCATATTCCCGCGGCTTGATTACTCAGCGGAGCCCCCGGTTCAAACCGTGATTGCGAAGGACGTCCACGGTGAAATTTGGAAGTTCAGGCATATATACAGAGGCACACCTCGTCGTCACTTGTTAACAACAGGGTGGAGTACTTTCGTCAACCAGAAGAAACTCGTGGCAGGGGACTCCGTCGTGTTCCTGAGGGCCGAAAATGGCGATCTCTGCGTGGGGATTCGCCGTGCAAAGCGTGGGATCGGCGTTGGATCCGAGGGCATCTCCGGCTGGAGCTCCGCTTCTGGGAACTGTGTGGGGCCTTACGGGGCTCTCAGTGTATTGTTAAGAGAGGAGAACAAGCTTCTGCGAAACAACTCGAATGGTGGGAATTCAAATCCTGGGAGAGGAAGAGCGAGGCCAGAATCTGTGATGGAAGCTGTGACACTTGCTGCGAATTGTCAGGCATTCGAGGTTGTTTATTACCCACGAGCAAGTACTCCTGAGTTCTGTGTCAAGGCTGGGGCAGTTAAGGCAGCCATGAGAATTCAATGGTGCTCTGGGATGAGGTTCAAGATGGCCTTTGAGACTGAGGATTCTTCCAGGATTAGCTGGTTCATGGGCACTGTTGCTTCTGTTCAAGTCGTTGATCCTATTCGCTGGCCCAATTCTCCTTGGAGACTTCTTCAGGTATTCTTAGCATTGTATTGTATTGCCCACAGTTTCCTTGTATTTTCCTCTTCTCTTGTCTGATTTAGGGCGTGGATGTTATTGAAAATTAATTGTTTCCATTCTGCTTATGGATATGATACGAGAATGAAATACTAGACTCTGACGTTTTTCTATGAAATCTAACTCCTAAGCCTCTCAACATTCTAGTTCAGTAAATCTCCTGAATTTCTCAATCAATACACATGCAGTAGTTTATGGGTTAGTCCATGAGTCTTCCATTAGTTTTGCATCTGGCGAAGTTCGAATTATTTTTGAAAGAACCGAGCAAGTGGACTTGTACTTGACATCTTGGTAGCTAAAATTGTACCTAAGATTTGTTTTCCTTTCGGCAATTCCTTTCTGACGGCTAAATGCCCTTTGGCATATACCTGATGGTATAGGGTTTCACCTTTTCGCCTTCCATTATCCATTCAGTGCCTGTAACACCAGAAGTTTATGTTTGTTTTCTTATTCATCTTGCCGTTATTACCGCAGGTTACTTGGGATGAGCCGGATTTGTTACAGAATGTGAAGAGGGTTAGCCCATGGTTGGTTGAACTTGTATCGAACAGGCCGGTCATCCCTCTTATGCCGTTCTCCCCCCCTCGGAAGAAGATGCGGCTTCCTCAACACCCAGACTTCCCCTTTGATGGTCACTTTACGATACCGACCTTTCCCGGCGGCAACCCCCTTGGGCCCAGTAGCCCCTTGTGTTGTCTTTCCGATAATGCTCCTGCAGGCATACAGGGAGCCAGGCATGCTCAATTCGGACTCTCTATTTCAGATCTCCACCTAAACAGTAAATTGCAGTTGGGTCTGCTCTCAAATAACATCCAGCAGCTTGATGTGCATCCCGGGATTTCCAGTGGCAATATAATGATGGGCCATGACAAGAAAAATGACAGCTTGTCATGCTTGCTTACCATGGGAAACTCCAACAAGAGTTTAGAGAAATCTGATAAGGTGAAGAGACACCAGTTTCTGCTTTTTGGACAGCCAATACTGACTGAACAACAAATATCTCAAAGCTGTCATGCTGAAGTGTGGTCTCAGAAATTTTCGAGTAAAAATTTGCCAGATGAATGTAAGGATAAAGCAAAGAGCTTCTTGGGTGAATCCCAACCAGCGGTTTCACAGCCAGGATTATCTTCGACGACCGACTTTTCTTGGCAACTTGGGTTGGAAACTGGTCATTGCAAGGTATTCTTGGAGTCAGAAGATGTGGGACGCACTCTAGACCTTTCGTGTCTCGGCTCCTATGAAGAGCTGTACGGCAAGCTGGCCGACATGTTCGGACTCGAAAGATCTGATATGTTGAGCCGTGTGCTCTACCGAGATGCTTCCGGTGCTGTCAAACGAGCTGGAGAAGAACCCTTCAGGTACCAATCACTGCTGTACTTATTTTCCCCATCTTAGTGTCAATCATTGTCTGATTTGCACTGAGTTCACTTAAATCTGAAACTTGGAAGTTGAATTGAGGTTTTGCGCCCACTCCTATCTTCGCCCTGTATTTACATCGATTCTGTTTCTCTGTGATTATGCTACAGTGACTTCATGAAAACAGCAAAAAGATTAACAATTCTGACAGATTCGGGCAGCAAAGATATTAAGAGGTAAAGAATAAATTGTCTAATTTTTCTGTTTGACTACTTTACACCGGCTCCACAAAGATAATTGAATCAAGGCAATTTTAGTGTCGCATTCTTACATGTTTATCTCATATCTTTCCTTTTCGGTATAGCTTCTTGGGCCGAGGTTATATGGTTTCTGATCTACAAATCTGTGTGACTGATGATAAAGCAGAATTGGAGGATTAAAAATATACGTTTTTTGGGGTTGGGGGGTGGTATGGGTAAATGATTCTTCTGATTGAGACGAAAAATGCGATTTTGCAGGGCGTGGATGACAGGATCTCGAAATGGAGAGCATGGATTGGATGCATCAAACAAGACAGGTTTTCTGAGCATATTTGCCTAGACATGTGACGTGGCATGTCCATGTTCAGAGATTTGACTCCTAAGTTGTATCAGAATGTTTGCTTTCTTCGTCTTATGAACTAAAAACTGTTGTCGACAATGGCATCTCGTAAGTGTAATCTGTGTCAATAATGATGCCTCTATTTTGTTGTTATATTAACCCCAAGACTACCTTACTAAGGTCTGTATCTTCTTGTACCATCAATGAGCTGCCAGTTCCTGTAAGATTTTGACTTGGGTTTCCATGATTGGGACAGAGATTAATGTTAAGTTGTTGCCGAATCCCTTTTTATATCCGATACGAGATTGCCATTCTAAAAATGGCGATCGCATTTTGTGAATCAAGAAATGAAAATCCCATGAAGTGATTATTTCTGAGAAACAAAAGCTCAGAACAAAAAGAAGATGCTTCAAAAGCAAAGATGGGAGAGAATAATTTTCACGCGAAGGTAGATAAAACGTCTTCGTCACGGCTTTCTTATTTGCTAACAAGGGTTTTAAATATTCTCTCCAGTCGTTTTCAGTTCATGGAAAGGGTTCGAACCCGTGGCTTTCAAAATTAAATTGGCTACCTCATCATGTTTTCTCATCTGTAGGAAGAAAAGTAAATGTCCAAGTATTAATTTCAGTAATTAAAGAACGATCAATTGATATGAAAAATGTGTGAATGCTTTCATGTGAGTTGTGAATGTTTTGAAGCATTGTCTTCTCTGGTTTCTGAAGACCGTGACTTGGACAATGAAGAAGAGAAACTAAAGCGTAAAAGCAAGAATTTGTCTGTTGTAAAAGTAGACTAGGTAGGATTTGAAAGTAGGAACAAGCTAGTGGTCTCCATTCACGGTAAAACATGACAATCAAAGCCAGCTACCTAACCAACATGGCAACATTATATGGAACAGGAACGGTTTGACTTTTGTCCTCAGAGAAAGTGGATACAATGCACCCTCTGGGGCTTAAAGAGCTCGGTTCAAAGGCTCGGTAGGGCTGGAAAAAACTGAAACACGACAGCATTTTCAATGCACAGTAAGTCAGTGCCATTCCTATCACCTCACTGATCCAGCGTCATCATTATCATGGCTGCTGCCATGTCTATGTCCTCCCAAATCCCCACTCATTTCCATTCCAAAGACCTGACCACGTCATTGAACCTGGTCTCGTACCAGTAGCTAATGATACAACTATACAAGAAACGCCATTATTATTATTATAATAGTAACAGGAACATGATATACTATTAGCGCTAGAGAGTGGTTTCAGAAATCAGAAATATATCAGAGGTTGGGATCCGAGAAGGCAGAAAACATGAAAGAACGGATTTTTAATTTGAAAGGCATTGATGGTAGTGTGGGGCAGTTTGACGAGGATTGAGGGTCTGGTCTCCACTGGGGTTGTGAATGGGAGTTGTGGATGGAGGGACAGACAGCGGCATCGCTCTCTCACAGGTCACAATCCCGACAAAACCACCTCAGTATCAGTGTTCTTTTTTCACTCCTAAGCGTTGCCCACACGTGGGCGTGGGTCCTAACCCACTCGATCCTTTTAATTTTTAAATTCAAACAACAAGGTGCCGTTTTTTTAAAAAAACATGCTAGTTCACACCCAAAAAAAAAAAAATGCTACAGGGATACCAGTACTAGCTAGTAGGACTGTTGTTTATAAAATAATTACGAAAATTAAAAAAAATGACAAGTTCACGTGCAGACTAGCAACTGTGTCGCCGGTTAGATGGGCGTGCCTTTTGGGCAGTGATGATGATAATGGCTGTTTCGGGATTTGATTCAACTTTGCAGCTTTGCTTATTGCTTACGCCTTCATTCACTCCAAATTGGTTCGGGTGATCCTGAGATCCACTTGTATAGTAGTTTAATGTGGCACATACTCGGACCTCTTATTCATCTTCTTTTCAGGCTTTTTTCATACAGTAACTTATTAGTCATTACATTGAATGGACTTCAGCCCCTCAGGCTGCAGCAGCATGGAGTTGATAATTAGGTTATAGAAATTAATGCACTTATAATGTAATATATCAAAACTGGAGTGTTGAATTTGAATTAAAAAAAAAAAGAACAGGAAGTAAGGAGGGGGGGGGGTTTTCAAAATAATGGTCAAAGGAGGGGGCATTGAAAGAAGAAAAGAGGAGAGGTTACAATTCCAAGGGGTTGAATTCCATGTTTTCAGTTCCAAAGCCCTTTTTCCGGAGTTGCCATCCTTTGCATTGAGATAGTGAGGCGTATTTCCATCTTAATTTTAGTGTCACTAATATCATGTACCCATTGGTTGCCCCAAATTTTTACTGTTACTATTAATGACTATTCTGTACTTGGAATCATCCTCATCTCGTCTTATAGTTGCAAGGTGAAGGGAATATTTATTTTAATCATATTTATAAGATAATTTTATAATTTATGCATCTATTTTTAGTTCATATCAAATGGTGAGGAAATTATTAAATATTAAAGTATTTTACTTTTAAAAGTTTGTAGATTTAATAGGAGTAAATTAAAGTTAAAAACTTATTAGATTTTTAAATAAAATAATAATATTTAAGATTTTATTTAATTCTAATAAAATATATTAAAAATAACTTAAAAACATGATCGGAGAAAGTATCATTTAAACTAGTGCTGCTTGGAGTTGCATGGATTTATTTTCTTCATGTAATGATATTGACTATAATCACACCTCTGTTTCTATGTTTGTTTATTTTATACTCCTTCTAATCTAAAAATATAAGACATTTTTTAACTAATTTTAGTCTAAAATATTTTCTCATTCATCATAAATCGGGCTAATGTTTAAAAATGGAAACAATATATATTTTTATGAGAATAAAAATTTTATTGATATGCATATTATTGTTAAAAGTTGCTTATATTTTGGACCCTATTATCCCAATTATATGAAACCTTTTAGAATAATTATCGAATCTTTAACATAAGGCATTTGATAGAGTATTATTTTTTTTAATATTACTCATATTTAAATTCATTAATTATGAAAGAAAATGTGATGCAAAGTTAAAATCTTTTTTAGTTAAATAAAGGTAAAATTAAAATTTTATTTTATTTTTAAATAAAATTAATGACCTAATCACTTTTTTTTTTATTCTGGTGAAATAGTTACAAATATCTTAACAAAAGTAGATGGAGTATTGCAAATTATTTTACGGTGATCAAGTGGCTTTTTTTGGCTGCATCCGCCAACCAAGACTTGCTTAAATATTCAAAATTCTATAATTCTTTACAAGCGATACATTTCTTCTCGTGACCTTGTTTTGAATTTGCACTGACATTTTTCATTAAACACAAACTCAACAAATAGTTGAAAAAAGAGGGAGTTAACGGGGCAAGCGACAGAGATATGGTGAGATTGGCCTTCAAGGCCCTACCATTAACGCGTGCGGTGGACCCCGCAGAGCCCAAAAATTAAAAAACAGAGAGAGAGGGAAAGAGAGATGAACACACAAGTTACACAACACAGGCATGTGAAAATTAATTTCAGGGGAACATGGATTTGGTGCAGCGGGTTTAATTAAGATGATTTCAAACTCTCTGTCATGTTGAGGAATTCGGATCCTTTTATTCTCTCAAAAGATCCCTCTCCATTTTAGATATTCGAGATTGAGAGGAAACATATACACATGAAAACTTCTAAAAAGAAATTGTTAAATCATAATAACTCTGTCTTCTTTGCCGACCAGTACTTGCCTTCTTGAACTTCATATCATGTAAATGCAATCTCCCTTTCCCTCATACCATTATTAACACGTTGTTTTGCAAACAAATTAAACCATAATACGCGATTGATCAACCACTTCAATTTTGCTTGTCTGTCACTTGATCTCATACCATTATCTATCGTGTTATTATTATTTATTTTTTTGGTTACATCAGAATGTTTTAAACACTTGATGCACACCTACATTGCACCCCACCCTTGTCACCATGATGTAACATGACAAACTCAAAGTAGCGCTAGGTCTGAATCTACCATGTTATATTTTGTTTACACCATAAAAATAATTTCGTGATGGTCTAAAGCTCAAATTAAGAAACCTTAAGAAATCATAGAGATTTAATTATGAAAATTCCAGACAGGGTCACACTTCAAGAACCAAATCAAGGCCACTAAATACAGAGCGTCCACATGACTCAAAATGTGAAAGTGGGCAAAGTGGCTCCCTAAATTGGTGAAAGTTGTCAAGATTTGGGTAGGAGAAGATTGATCGGGCACCTATCTTCAAGCATTCAACACCTTAATTAACAACACTCAATTTTGCTCATAATCATTCTTTATCACTTACATTTTATTTTGCAACCTCACCTGACTTTTTAATAAATCTTTTCATAGCTTCACCATCTTTTTTACACAGATCTGCTCCATCGCTTTTCATATATCAGGTTGTTCAACATGAAAAAAGAATAAATGAGGATTACTTGATGTTGAAGTCACAAGTCATAACTGTTGCATGGATTATTAAAGGTCGTTCAACATTGTCACTACCATGTTGTTGTGTTAGAATTATTATAACCTACTTTAGTGAATATTGATGAATAAAGCCATGATGATTTGGCGCCATTGTCATCAGGGTCATAATTATCTTGAATAACAAAGATGCTTTATGATCATAATAATAAATGCTTCATCTGAAGAAAGTGACGGCCACATTATAATGGATTGTGAGAGGGTGTTGCTATTGCCAATTCTGGGCACCGTAATTCGTGTCGGAACTCTGCCTTGCAGCTCTACGTTGGCCATCCAATCAAGCAGTGGAAAAAAGATGTCGTACTACTTGAGAAGAAACTAACAAGTCCTTGACAATGCTAAAAAAACATTTGAATTAGGTAAGGTGTACATCATAGTGCAGACAAAGATTTAACAGGTGCTGTGTAAATTATAATTCGCAATGATCACACATTCTAATGGAAATTAAGGGGGTTGTGTTAGTCAAACGCGTCGTTATGGATTGGAAGAACCTTTTTGGAAATCCAAATGTCAAAGCTACGCATATTGCAACTTTGAATTGCAGGAACTTGGAATTTTAAATCTTAATGAAGATTTCATACCCCCATCACACAGTTAACTGTAATAAATATATTCTCAGAAAGCATAACAGGAAAAAAGTGCACTATAACCACAAGCGCGTTTGTGATGATGGCCTTTTCCCTTTTTTCTCATGATAACAGTTTTTTTCATCATAGATCCATGTGCTTTTGTGTAAAAATGAAAACTCGACAAACATCGAACAGCCATCAGGGGTACCAACCAATAACCAAATCAAGGACCGTTTGGTTATTCCTAAGTCTTACTCCAGATATTTATGAGTCAAGAAATACCTAAATACTTGTTTGATATCTACTATGCCTCGTGATTGATAATTTTTCGTTTATGAGATATTTCACTGAAGATTAGGCATATTTCAAATTTCAAATGACACCATATTCTGAAACCAGATAGGAACCCCAACAGCAAAAGCAAAGATATCATGTGCAATCAATACTGAAATACATGAGATTTCAGCATTCCCACATCATGACAAAATCTAGAGCCATCAACATGCATACATGGTCATAGAGTAATTATATCCAGTCGTGAGAGAAATAAAGAATTTATTTCAAAATTGAGCGCCTCAAACGTAGTGTTACATTGAGGATAGACACTACAGACCAAGTAAACCAGGAAACATATCAACCTCTCACTAGGGAAGTATAAGCACAGTTGTATCCTCTCATGTGCGTTCAGATTACGTGCAACCTGCCAACACAATGACAAGTTATAAATAAGACATCAACTCAACGTATGCAAATGCCCAATCAAACGCAATGAGCAAACTAAATTTGGGATTTGGAAACCATGAACCAGGAAAGTTAGGAGCAGATTCCCCCAAAAAACACATCGAATTAAAATCGAAGTTCATCATTCATCCAATTCAAAATTAACATTGAAGTCACCTCCATCAGCTAATTTTGAGGTGGGGGATGAAGAAAGATTGCTGATATCTGACTTCCTTGCAATTCCTTTTGAAATATATGAATCATCTTTTATCCAAAAGAAAAAATTAAAATTGAAGGATTGATCTATGCTGACCTATTACCCATATCAGCTTCCACCACTGCATATTGCATTTGCAGAAAAGCTTGTGCACGGACATGAAATAGTTGTTTCACCCGAATTATTCTTTTATATTACCAGACCATCCTAACATCACGTTGGCGGTCTTGCAATCAAAGTCAAACGTAACTAAGCAAGAAAAGACTTGATTCTGAGAGGCTAGATCCTTTGGATCTATTAACCGATACAATAGTTCAGAAGGTATAACTGAACCATAATAATGACACATGGCATCACCAAACAGCATGCTAAACGTAAAACACAAAGTATCGCATTCCTTTTTCTCCTTTTAAAAACAGAGTGACATTGTGGTTTTGATTGCCTTCTTGATATATAAGAGGGTACAGACAAGAGACCGGTTTGCCTGGATTGTATCATAACTTGGCATGATAAAAGCACTCAATGCCAAACCTCACAGCTCTTTAAAAAAAAAAAAGAAGAAGAAGCTAAGGACCTCTAATACTTTTTATAATATTCCAACTTTTTAATTTTATTTTTTTTTCTTTGATTCATTAGTTTTATATAAAATAAGAGACATTTTTAATGTCTTAAAATGGTAAATATTTATATTTTTTATGATTTTTCAAAAAAAAAAGGTATAATTCTAATATTTTTTAATAAATCATAAAAAATATAAATTTTTATCATTTTGAGATTTCAAAATATCCAAATGCCCCTTATTTTAATTAAAATCCAATGATTCAAAAAAAAACAAAAATAAAAAATTGAGATATTATTAAAAACATTAAAGAAAGGTACATTAAAAGCTCCTAATCTTTTAAAAAAGAATACACATCACACAAATATATCTTTTGGATAAAGAGAATCCTAATGTTAAGATGGGTTCTACCCTGCACAAACATGATAAGCTAGAGTTTTGACCGATAAAAGATCAGCGAAGTGTCATAGATATACTGAAATGTAATCTCAACCTTATAATGATTTATTACTCCCAATATATTGACCAATTACAAACGACAACCAGATTACATCAAAGACCACGGACAAACTGCATTCATTTACAACTTGGTAAACCAAACAACGAATTTAAACTACGACTTAGATTAAGCACCTCTCATTCAATCATAAAAAATATAACTAATTCTAAAGCGAAAAGTAAGGGTTTTGAGTTGCGACTAAAGATTGAATTATCGGCTGCTCCATTCCAGTTTTTTCCATGCAAAGTTGTACATAAACTTCTTAAAATAATAAAGGAGAAAAAACTCAGACAATCTAGCTAACCATACGAAACGATGTCAAAAACTACAACTCCACAAATGAATGGAAAGGCGTCGTCCAAAGCCAAATCATTTATTAATACTAATTAATAATAATAATGGGTTGCTGAACCCGTCATTATTTTTCTAGATCTCTCCATACAAGCGTTCTTTTCCCTCAGTTGGGGACTACAACGTAAATTGCAAAAAAAAAAAAAATCGTTGCACATCCATTTGACGAACAAATTCAGAAATAGCAAGATATAAATTCACACCGCAAAGATTCTTGAAGAAACAGAGAGGCGAGAAGAGAGGAAGTAATGCGAAGTGCGGATCAGTAATTAGTTGTAGTAGAGCTCCAGGCCCATGCCATCATGAATCTCGTAATCTTTTAGGGTGATGTGATCCTTATAGATAGGGTACCACTTCTGAATGCGAATCTTGTCGGGTCTGGTACCCGTCTGAGCAGCCACAAGTTTTGTCAAATCACCGATGGTGTCATCCTCATTACACTCTACCCTCACCTTCTTCCCCAGACGGTCATTGAGCACAACTTCTATCATCTTCCTCAAACCAACCCAATGCTAAGTGACCCGTTGGAAGTAGGAACTTTCGAGAGACAGAAGCAGCAGCATCCCTCCAGACTTCAGTTTTCTCAATCGATAAATATATAATAACCGCTCTCACTAAATTTGGCGCGTCATTAACTTCTCTAGAGCATTCGCTTCGTCGTTGAGGATAATTTTAGTCTCTTAGTCTATCGTACCGTTGGTGATGTGATGGTGACCGTGGGAATTTGATTCCGTTTTGTGATTGGTTGTTCAATGGGTCTCGGAGACTGCTACTACACTCGCGCGTGCAAGAGTACTCCCATTGAACTGTTGACCTTACAAGCACAGGTCAGGTACGGCATTTGCCCAGATGAAGCTTCCAGAGAGACCCTTTTTATGAACACAACACAATTTTAACGGATTAAATTTATCTAATCAAATTTACCCAAGTTGAAAAAAAAAAAAAATCAAAGTCATAATTATAAACCGTGTGAACTGCATAATCCTTTCATGTTAATACTCCCTTCCTTCGTTTAAAAATATAAAATATTTTTTAAAAAATTAAACATAAAAAATTATAAAACATTTTTAATCTTTTAAATTATAATAATTTTTTTTAAAAAAATACTCTTATTGAATAAATCACTTTATATTTATTTATTTAGAATAAAACATCCTATTAAATAAAAATAAATATAAAAATATAAAATTAATTTACAAATAAATAATTTTTTATTGAAAAGTAAAATTTAATAAAAAATACCTTGTGTTTCCAACTGAAGGAGTAGACGTTTGGAATCTTAACCGTCTTGATGCCGAACATTCTGCACATGAATCATTCACAGCATCCAAAGTCCTCAAACAACAATGTATTTAATTAAAAATGAAACTCGCCATAATGCATTGTCAGTAAATCTCGACAAAGAATTAGTCTAATTTCATTTATTATTCTAAAAATGCCATCAAATTCAATTGCCTGTCAAGTTCATAAAAAACAGAATCCATTTCATTGAGATTTCGAATGCATGGGCGTTTAAAAATTTGAAGTCGTCATGATAGAAATGATGAAGCAGGGGAAGCTAGATAAAATTCAATAGAGGGAACCCATAAGTCGCTTACAGGATGGCAAAACTTGAAATCATAAACAAGCTTGATATCTAATGAGGGAACAGAAGCAGACAAGAAGGGAAACAAAAATATACTGTACACGAACCAAGAAAATCGAACATTAGCACGTCATTCAAGAACAGCAACCTCTTGGTCCACCCTCCAGTAATTTGCGTCATTGAATTCCTTCATACTACCAGGCCCTCCACCCTCTTCAGAATTCTCCCTCCCCGCCACCTTTGGGGATGTGTTCCTTTTCAAAGGTCCCGCTTCCCCAACTATTCCTTCTTTCAGAGCCTGCTCCATAGCCTTCTCTGTACCTTCCAATTCAACACCTACAAATTCAACATCCTCTTCAAATAGGGAGGGTACTGCTGCTGTTTTTAGATTGACTCACCATCCCCCTCGCTAATATCTCTACTTCGAGACCTGTTTGAAGGTACAGACTCTCCATTTGAAGTAGGGCTAGGGCTACCTACTAATTGGGGTTTCGTGGATGAATTGCCATCAGACTCGTCGTGATCTATAAAGGGGTTTGAGCTTGAACCAGCCACTTGCATGTCTGATGGTTCACCCCATCCCACCCACTCGGGTAGCGGTCTGTCCCCAAACAAGTCCTCATTGTCTGGCGCTTCAAACCCAAAGAATCCCATATCATGGGACACACTTGCCTTCTCACCTTCCAAATTCAAAATGCCACCATTCATGGAATCAAAGGCAGTTAAACCACTGAAGAAATTTGTGCTTGAATTTGACGTGCCATTAATTGTATTTTTGTTTTCAGCCAAACCTTCATCCTCTCCGATCACCACTTCATCATCACTACTGTTGTTACTACCATTTGCAGCGCCGTTCAAATTTATCTCATCCATCATCTCCGAGGATGATGTGCCCCCAGCCCCAGGATCATCACCAATTCTGTCATCTTGGAATGCAAACCAGTTGGAGTTTGTAAACAGGCTACTGCATTGAAGGAATGGCCCCTTGTTATATCCACATATAAATAATCAATATAAGAGAAAAAGTACGATGGCATCCAAATATTGACTGCATGAATAACAATACAGGAAAACTTTGAAATAACTCATAAAAATAACCTCACCAAATAAGGTGAGGCAGAGTTTCATATGTGAGAGTCGAATGGTTGAAAGTGAAATAAGTCTATGTGTATATGTGATTGTATATTCCTCATACAGGCCCACAATTGTGTAATGTGACTTTAAGAGGTCAAAATGGACAATTAATGTGATATATGTGATTATAAGTGTCAATTAAGTTTATATAATCCTTTTGGACTTGATTCAAGGCCTGAAGTGATCTAGTGGGACAAGGCATGAGAATTGAGCACTTAACGTGCAAGTTTTAAAAGAAAAAGTAACTTTTTGCACTCGAATATTTAATTTTAGATCGAACTGACGGATCAAGTCCAAACTTGTCTCATTAGATAAAATATGTTGTAAGTTTCATATGGGCTTTTGAATCACTCCAATGGATGATGGATGTGAAAATGGCGCACAATGAAAGTTCACCTTGCAAACAGTCTTATGACAACAAATGCACCGCGGAATATTATGTGCAGTGCTGCAGCCCATGGCATAGGGAAGAATAGAGCTTGTGGCTCTGTACCACATGCCGCGGTGCATGGTGGTGTAAGGCCCAGTACATGGCACTTTTTTAAAGGAAAATATAGCTATGTTTGTGCTTCAATTAGCCCTCTCATTTGAACATGTTTAACGAAGTCAAGATCCCACATTTTAAAAACAATTTGAAGACTATTACTCTAATATGTAATTGTTGTTTGATGATTGTGTATTTGAGAATAGTAAAGTCTGGATTAAGTAGGGACTCTAAAGAGATGACCTAAGCTCCCACTCCCTTGTTTACTTAGAATCTATTTCTTCCGAATTACCTCAGATTAATTTTGTTTAATTAATCTAGAGTCTAATTAGTTGAAATTGTCTTCCGAATCAATTACAATCCTCTCTTAAATAATAATACAAATGTTAACACAATTACCCAAGAGGCATTAAAAGTTCAATAACACTCTAATATGATTACATATGGGTCCAAGAGGTATATTCCTATCCTAATGGCAAATTAGAATAAATTCTAATCCCATATTGCCTAATCTCAAGGTCTATTTAAGATTTTCTTTTTCAAGATAAACCCTAAACCCCTAAATCTCAACTCAATGGTAGCCAATCACCAAGCAAGTGATAATAAATGAGATTAAATAACCCAAAACTAACATTAATCATAGAATAATAAGAGAAAATGGTATTTGATACATGAACAAATTCATAGTTGCTTAGGTCATGAAGAAAATTTAGCTATACATCAGTAACACATGATAGTAATGGCCAAATAACCTAAAAGGCAATCATGTTTCATTCAAAAAAGAGAACATGCTATTTGATCAACAAGTTGGGCGAAGAGCAGAGTTGATAGTTAAATGAAATTCCAAAAATATTCTTTTGTGCGCTGTGAAAGCAAACATACAAGTAAAACCTTGACATTTGGAGATCTGTGCGGAAATAACTATACTGTAATGCTTCGACTGAAGAATTATGAAAGTTCTTCAACAGATCAACATGCTTAAAATCTTATGCATTTATGTACAGCTTTCAAAACTCAAAATCATCAGTATGTCACTTGGCTCCTTAAAGCAGTCAACCATTCTCTTTTTGCATCTACTTTCTGGATATGATGAAAGCTAGCTTGGGAAGGTAGGGTGATAGAAGCCACACCACAAAGCAGAAAGGTGAAACTGAGATATAAGGAAACTAGTTCGGGAAGGTAAGGTGATAGAAGCCACGCCACAAAGCAGAAAGGTGAAACTGAGAAACATCTATGCCTCACTTGGTATGCTGGAATTGAGACTGAAGAAGTGGAAATGGAAGTAGAATTCTGAAAAAAAAAAAAAATTGTTTGGTGCCATGGAACTGGCTTAAGTTCTTAGAAGTGAAACTTTCTGACCATTCTGACCATTCTACCCTTGAATATTTTATCAAGGGGCAATGTTAACCCCCCATAATTATAACCACACCATCTCCCTTCTCTTTCAAACCCGACAGTCTCCCTCCCTCTCCAATGTGACTAAAGCCTCCCCCTCCAGCATCAACACATAACTCTGATGGCCTCTCATCTCCCTCTCATATACTCCCTCTAGTCCTATTTATAAAGCAAAGAAATTTTTTTTTCCTATTTATAAGTCACGTTATTAAATTTTCATCACAAATTTCCTTTTTCACCCTTCATTGAAGGTTGGAAAGAGAAAATATGTTATTAAAGTGTATATATTTAATAGAGGCAATGTTGAGAGCTTACTAAATTGTAAGACAAAATTAATGAGTTTTAAGGTTTTCCTTGATACTAGTAAAACATGCTAAAAATAACTTATAAATAGGACCAAAAGAGTAACTCCAACAGCCTTGACGACATGAAAAATTGATTCTGACAAGTGAACAATCGAATCCAACAACCAAGCCTCCCCTCACCATGTAGATGGAGACTCCTCTAAGACATGTCTGCCACAACTTGCAACAGAGGTTCTCTTCAGTTAGAGAATCAAACTTGACAAAGTTTTAAATAGAGATTAGTGAGTGAAAGAAATGTTGAGATCAAGGTTATGTTTCTCAATGAAAGAAACCCAAATATTTATGGCAGCAACATCGATTCCTCTTCTAGTGTAGCTCTCTACCTGTTAGAACATTGACCATCTAGATTTGCCCAAGCATTTTGTTTTTTTAACTATTGGGAGAGATCTCACCTAGCACAATCGATTTGAGTCTTCCTATCTAGGAGAATTGCATGATGGTTGCATTTTTTTTCCCTTGATTGCAGGGGTTGTTTCTATGATGGCCAGTGGCTGTTGTGTTTGGGCTGTGATGGCTATAGATGTTTGGGCTGATGGATGGTGGTTTTTTAACAGCAAAGGCATGCAAGCCTTTTCAAATGATAAATGGATATATTAATTAAAAAAATATATTACACTTCCATCACCAAACCAAACATACTTTTAAACTTACTTTCACTTCTAGTTCCATTTCCAATTCCACTTCAAACTCTTCCACCATGCCAAATGAGGCACTAGAGAATTTAAGAAAACTCAATCACATCGCTGTTGCAATAACACCGGGTAAGGGAAGAAGTGATAGGTTCCGAGGTGTCAAAAGGGAAAGGTAATTCCTTATTAGCATGTGGAATCAGAATCCATTGGCACCAAGTAACGAGGACCTGGGGAATCTACAGAAATAATCTGACTATACACAGCATCACATTCCCATACAAACATGTTTCCTTGTATAGTCAGGACAAATAGATGGTCATCTGACGCCT